TGGTCGTCCCATTTACTTCCGTCCTTGGCCGCTTCTGCACAGGCGGCGCATCGTCATCGTCGAAAGCTTGTTTTGCGCTCCTTCGTCGCGTCGTCGGTCGGTTTGTGGCCATAGGAAGCGATTGCAGCGGGGAGCGCGCAAAGATGGTAGTCATGAGTTCAGTTTCTGCGTCACGGGGTTCGGAGAGTTGGTGTTCGGTCAAAGCGCGTGCATGGGCGCGGCGGACAGGCGAGCTATCGTCGAGTAAAGTTGGGCACGAGTGAAGGCAATGCGCGTGCGATCCAAGTTATGCTCGTAGTATAGGCAGGGCGTGCGTAATGATTAGGCGGTAACGTGAATATCTTTGGGCGACGGGCGTGGAGGGGAACGGTCGTCACACGGGAGCAAGGAAGTTGGTGTGTGCACCTGCCCCAGCATCATCAAAACAATGATTTCAGGACTAGCGCGTGCACGTGACCAGCTGATTAGCGTTCCCTACAGCGCGACAATCAACCATGCATGTAAGTAATGTAAAGTATATGTACATAATACGATATCTATCTAGGATACACCTTATCCACCACAACTCAAGAAAACCTCTTAGAAACGCCCGAGAAAAAGCGACAACCCACGCCGCTCATCCGTATGCTTACATTCCATCATAACCTCGTTACGCCAAGCGCACCACAAGAATGATACTGAATATCCAAGCCTGTCCATGCCTTTTGTGTATGCCAATTCCTGCAAACTCTAACGCGATCGATTCTACATGCCAGCGCCAGGCATGGGTCCTTTGACGCCTGCAGGTGCCAAACTACCCTCGATACGGCGCTTGGCATCCTGCTTCTCTTCATGGGTAGGGTTGCTTTTGCGCATGTCTGGAACGTAAGCTGGCCTGTTGGGACTGTGACCAATGGACATGCCGACGCGGACCTAGTAGAGTGTTAGCAGAATCAATGCAAGGTGGAAATCTAATGGTACTTACAAGAGTCTCAAGGGCAGCGTTGGAGTTTTCCACAAGATCCTCATCATATCGCATTTGGCCAGGCTCGAAAAGGAGCAGCAATGTGCTGCCACCAAACTTGAAATAGCCGAGTTCTTCAGCACGCTTGACTTGCTCGCCCTTCTTGCGCGTGATAACGGTACTACCGACCATCATGGCGCCTACACAAATAACCATGACACGGCCATGTGCGACAGAGTCAATGGGAACAACGACTCGGACATTTTCACCGTACACATCCAACGCTGAGCGAATAGCCATTGGGTTTACAGTGTAGTATTCGCCTTCAATCGTCTTTGGTTCGTCCAAGACGCCATCGACAGGGATGTGGAAACGATGGTAGTCTTGCGGCGCCAGTCGGAAGATGCCGAGTGATCCTCCATAGTAACGCTTTACGTCTTGCGGATAAGCGTCGCCAAGCAGGCGCTCAATGGTAAAGTCGCGACCCTTGACCCAGATGGCCTGTGCTGTATCTATGGTATTGAAAACAACGGTTCGGCAGTCGGAAGGGGACACGATTACCCTTGGGTCGTCGGGCGCAGAGCATGGGCGCGCACCTGGCTTCAGTGCGCGGTAGAAGAACTCGTTAAAGTTCTTGAACTGGTCCGTGGGCAACAGAACCTCGGACATGTCAAGTTGATGGAAGTTGATAAAGGGCTCAATCTCAGAGGCAGATGCAGGGTCGTCGTATTTTCGTCCTTGTTTGAAGCTGAGAGACTTGAGAAGCTTGCGGACTATCAATAGTTAGCATTTGTGACTCCATGCGAGAATGAGCAACCTACTTCGCTTCTTTTCCATGTTGTTCGCCTTCAGACCCTTGTAAAGCAAACGAATACCCAGGCGGACATAAACACTCATGCGCTCCTCGTTGATCTGGCCCGTCAGACGATCTTGAACCAGGATATTGGCTGAGTTTGCACCCAGCTTGTAGCCACCGTACGAGATCTTGGTGATGACCTTGGAGTACCACTTGCGCTGAGCTTGGCTTGATGTAACAAAGCCAGCCATGACAATGTTGTTCACCTGTCTCCAGTCTTGACTGGCACATGTAGCGATATGGGTAATGATATTAGCGTCCGAGCGCTTGTTGAGCTTCGGCTGGTGACATATGGGACATTCGCGAATCTCAATGACATGCTCCTCGCCCTTTTCATCCGCCAGATCGTCAATCTGGAGATCGGCTCCTTCTTCGCCTTCCTTGCCCAGAGTATTGGTCTCCAAGACTGGAATGGAAGTGGTGGAGCTGCTCTGGTTGATTGGAGTGAGCATTCCAGAGGTCATTGGTGTCTGTGAACCTGATGCAAAAGACCCGTCCCTCTTGGCGTTCTTGGCTTCTGTGGCTTCTAGCTGGTCCTCAAGACAGACTACAGCCTCATCAAATGTGAGAAGGTGTTCTCCGTTGTGGCGATACGCAAATCGCTCAAAGAAGCTGTCAATGGTGGCCTCGTGTAGCGTAGAGCCAAGTGTGTCGAGCATTGTGGTGAGCTCGACCTTATCAAGCAAACCGCTCTCATCGGCGTCGTACTGCTTGAGCATGGCTCTCCAAAACTGTTGGCGAAGGGCCTTGTAAGGAAGGTATTTAGCACGAATGTAAAGTGTTGGGTTGTGCTTGTTCTCCCAGCGCTCCTGGTGCTTCAATTCCAGGGGAAGGGTATACATTTTCAAGTCCTCATCGTCCACAGCTGATGGTTGAAGGTTGAGCGTGCTGCCCGGGGTAAGATTGCCATTGGAGTCAGTAAGGGCACTGGGCGGAGCCCCTGGTGATGGAGGCTGAGTTCCGTTCGCATCTTGTACGGAGAGCGAACCAGTCGACGACTCTTTCTTTAGTGATGGCCGGCCCAAACGAGAAAGGCTGTGAGTAGACCCAGAGCGGGACATTGGGATGCGAAAGCGCGACTTTTTTGAACCGCCATCAGGAGAGACGCCGGGGGAATCTGACGGTTCCGGGAGCTTGTAGAGGCCCGTCTCTGGGTCCTCTTGGGGAGCTGTAGAAATCGCCTTCTCGAGCGGAAAGTTCACCGTGCCGACGTAGTCATTGCCCGAGAACTTGTCTTTATCCATGACGGTGAAGTTGACCGAGTAATTGGTCTCATGGCGCATGACTTGGAAGACAAGCTTTTCATCGAATACAGGGTTGAGGTCGTGTCTGACCGTTTTAGTGCGGTATGTCTTCTTTCCGAGCGACGTGATGACAAAGGGATCCATGTCGAATGTGGTTCGTGTCACTGAGAAATGCATCAGTCTGTGAAGGCGCCTAGTGGTACAAAGACAACTCACCATTGCGCTCCGGTGGCAGATCGGAACATCGCTGGACTTCAAGAAAAAGAATACCAGCCACATCGCCGCTGCTCGAGTAGGCGTAGACGGCCTGGCTCTTGACCTTTCGCTTCAATCGCGCAAGCTTGAGCTTCTTGCGCCGCTTCTCCCTCTTCTCGGCTTTCTTGGACTCATCTTGGGCTTCGTCTGAGCTCGAGTCGTCGTCTTCCTCGGCGTCGGTGCTGTTGCTGTTGCCGCCCAGGTCTTCATCGTCCTCATCGGGGCTGTGCGCCTGGCCTGCAATGGCAAAGAACTTTTGCAATGTTTGTTCTGGGCTGGCGCTAAGGTTTTGAGGGTCAATGAGGGTGAATTGCATCTGGATCTCGCCCGAGACGACCGACTTCTTCTTGCCGGAGCGGCGGGACTCGAGGGGAAACCATTGGGGTTCCTGCTGGGTAAGGCCGTTCTGGAAGTGATCCTCGAGTATGACGTCAAACTCGCCCATGTAGTCCTTGCCGAAGCGGTCTTTATCCCAGCAGACAGCTTCGAGCAGGAGGCTCTGCTCGCCGACAATGGGCAGCTCGAGCGTCTCGTTCCATTCTGGATTGAGTTGTTTGTTGATAGCGGGGGTGGTGACTTTGGCGTCGCCTAGGGTGAGGACGAGGTACTATGACGCGGTGTTAGCGTGTGTTTATGTGCATGTACAGATATGCGCACATGTACTAGACATGTTCGCGGAGTGAATGGGCGCTCACGGGATCAGAGGTGCCGCTGCGGTCTTTTGCAGCCAGGTCTCTGCCCTTGATGACGTTGACCCTCAACACCAGGCCAGCTGGGGCGGGCTGCTCGGGCATTGGGCGGGTGCGGGTGCGGGGGCTGCTGTTGCGCGAGGCAGGCACAGATAAGGCTGGGGTTTGTGTGTTCGGGGTCGAGGACGAGTTGTAGCAGCTGGTCGGGCGCTTGAGGCGGTGCGGAAGCGAGAGCCTGGTGGTAAATGTAGGACGGGGCATGTTGGCGGCCAGCCTCGGTCTGCCGACTGCACCGCCGCCGGGGCGAGGGGGGGCTGCGTGGCTACGCGTTCAATCAAGGCCCTGGTGATCGGTCCGCGGCAGCCAAGTATTGCTTGATGATGCGCCGCCCGTTGGCAGGACGTTGGCTCACGACATGTGCTGTGCGCGCTCTGCTCAGTCAAAATCGAGGGAAAAAGGGAAAGGGAGATGTTTCTTCTGGCAGGGTGTTTAGGTTTAAGGGGGGACGGACAAAAAGCGAGGGCTTGGGGGCCGCAGCATATCTAGGCCTGTATGTGCACGCACAACAGAGGGCTGAACGAGGCCGGGCTCCGCAATCTGTCTCTTGCGCCAACATCGGCTGCGAGCGCCTACCGGATCTTGCGGCTGCTCGATTCACAGCGACAACGACAACGACGACGACGACTCCTCTGCCGTCAGCCTGTGCAAATGCCGCACTCCAAACCCCATTGCATCTCTGTCTTACTCGTCCGGGACTGGCTGCTTAGACAACGCGCCCCCGAGTACCATACGCGGGCGCCTAAACCATCTACACATGCACATACGCCCGCGTCTTACTACATTCCATGTACGTACATGTACCAGAGCCTCTAGCGGGGCACCCTCCGCGCAGCCTATCTGCCCACCCATGTATCTACTTACATCCATCCATGTGTACGAACGAGTGGGATGCTGCACAGCCCACCCATCTGCGCTGCACCACCTCGCCCTTCAGCCCGTTCAGCGGGGGGCCTCGAGTGCGTCAGTTCTGTTACATACATCTGACTGTCCCCGATTCGTCATGTTCCTGGCTAATCGGCACGTCTTGCTGGTGGGTCTTGTATAGAAGGCCATAATTGATGCATACGTATACATGTGCATCTATCAATGTATATGACATACATGCTGCCAGATATGCCGCACCAGCACCTGCATATAACGGAGCTACATACATACGTAAGTGTTTACTGAATAACAAAGCCCACCCTAAATTGGCGGCGTTGTCTGGGCACCTCCACATGGCGCTCTGGGCACCCCTGGTTCCGTACGGCTGACCCGTGGCTGGTGCTGTGGCTTCTGACGTGGCTGATGCAAGCCAAGCCGCAACTCGGGATATCTTCAAGCAACACTTTTTTCACATCTGACGTCGTTGTTAATAAAACAAATTTGTTGTGCTTACCCTTTCTAGTGTACGTATACCTGTTTTCTAAAATAAGAAAAACCCAGTTCAAACCCCTTCTCTTCAATCCCTCGCGCTGCACCTTCCACTCTAATCCGCACCTTCCAAATCAAAGAAAAGAAAACCACAAACCACTACCCCCCTCTTTCAAATCACCACTTCTCCCCCACAAACCATGAAACCCCTCCCAGACACCCCTCAAACCACTCCCTCAAACCCCTAACCCATTCGCAACACACCAAAAAAAGCCCAGCGACTCAGTCTCGCAACCCCCCCAGAAAATGCTGACCAGGTCTAACTTAGCTACTTGACAATCCGGCCCGAATAACAGGAAGAGCCCGGAAGGGAGAAACCAAGACTAACTAAAGAAAAAAAGTTAGGGTCTGGGAAGATTGCTTCGCCTGTAGCCGGCACATCGTTGATCGTCTCCCGGGTTTTGGAGAATAAGAATACGAGCAACGGGAGGGAGGGAGGGAACCCGAGGGGTCGGGTTTTGGGGGTTTTTTTTTCTTGTTCTTTTTTTTCTTGTTATTTGGTAAGTCATCTGGTTGATTGATTCATGTTATGTGGCATGTGTATATACACTTGTATCAGTCGAATTATTTTCTTTTTGATACGCCTCCCCACTCCCCCCTTTTTTTTTTAGAAAAACCTCCGCCCTTCCCCTTTGCATATCGGGCGGAGATTTGATTTCAAACAAGAAAAAAAATCGTCGCAAGTCTGGATCTGGCTGTCGAGACAGTAAGAAAAAGAAAGAAAACAAAATCAAAAGAATATAATGATATTACGTTCCCCTTCTCACTCTCCTATCTTTTCTCTCTGCATTAATTAATATTCGACATACATAAGATTTAAAATAAATAAATAAAGCGTTCTCATAAACCAGTTTTTTGCTTTCATCATTTCACTACATATCTCACGCACGCTGTGTACATACTTGAAGCGGGGACGGAACCGGCCAAATCAACAAGGGAAATAAGTAGCATCAAGAAAACGAAACGCACTCTCTCTTCTTCAAACAACGTAGCAAGTAAGTAACAAGGTAGCTACCGGAGAGAGAGGGTAATAAAAAAGAAAAAAAAACAGGACTTAGTATTAGGAAATGAGGAAAACCTCCCTCTCTCCCTTCCCCTTCTTTTCGCAGCTGCTACACACATACACACGCATCTGCTCGATGATACACAGAAATACTTTCTCGGTACCAAAGCAGACGGCGGTTCCAATACCTAATCTCTCTTTGTCCAGGAGAAAGATGTTCAAGGGAGAAGAAAAAAAGAAAAAAAAAGATAAGAAAAACCGCTTCGCAGATGGTGAATCCATGGCATCCCCGGCCCGCCTGCAGGGTATCAAAGAGAGAGCGGTGCGGGCCAAGAGCAAGCCATTTCTCGACGGAAGCGCAAGCATGCAAAGCAAAGTCCACAACGCCTGTAAAAGGACATGAGGCATACAAGCTGTGATACAAGTTCAAGGTGAAAGAGGTTCGTAGACTCAGTCGTTCTCGTGCTTATATCAAGCCGCACAACCGCAGGTTCTCCTGGATTATGATATCTGCAAAACTGTTAGCGTTGAGCACAACAAAACAAAAGTTACGTTACGTACCGTTTACTGCAGCCATGACGAATCGGATTTGCATAGTATCTGTGGCGCAGGTAAAGTGCGTGTAGATTTGCTTCGTCTCATGTTGGTTGAGTGAGACGAATCGGTTGAGAATGTAGTCGCATGCAGCTGCGTAGTCTGGGCCACCCTCGTAGTCGGGGAAGTAGTTCTTCATTGGGCTGACAGGAAGCTTCTCCTTGAAGCGATCAATCTTGTTGAGAAACAGAATGATGGATGTCTTGACAAACCACCGCGAGTTGCAGATGGAGTCGAACAATGTAAGGGCTTCTTGCATACGGTTGACAGTCTCATCTTCAAACAGCAGCTGGTCGTACTCGGAGATGGCGACCAGGAACAGGATGGTGGTGACATTCTCAAAGCAGTGTATCCACTTCTTACGTTCTGATCGCTGGCCACCAACATCGAACATGCGGTAGGTGAGATCGCCGATGATAAAGGTCGTCTCGGTTATACCAGTCGTCTTGACACGCGAACGGAGGACATCCTGGTCGTTGGGGATGTAGTCGGGCGCGGCAATGCGGTCAACCGAGTCGAAGTAGCTAAAATAGTCAGTGGCGATGCACAGGTAAAGTTGAGACAGAACTCACTATTTGGCCGAATCGTTGAGCTGGTACTCGCGCGAGCGCTGGAAGCACTGCTGCACGCCGGCATCCTTCCAGAGAACCGAGATGGCGTTGCCAACCTCTGGTGGCAGGCTGTCGCCCTCGATCTGGGCAGGCTGCATGAAGATGGTCTGGACGTGATATTCGGCGCGCTGGTCGTCAAGCGGGAGCTCGAGCGACTCCATGGCCTCTAGGATGACGCGCATCGACTGGACCGTGTTGCTGAAGATGATCTCCTTAAACGACTCTCGCTCGTCGCGCGAGTAGCCGCCCTCGTGAATGAGCTTCATCTGCTTGAGAATGGTCGACTTTCCAGACTCTCCGGCTCCTATATTGTGTTAGAGCCTGTGTGTCGCAGTTGCAAGCGGCGCGCAATACTGACCGAGGAGCAGCATCTTGATCTCGTTGCGCTGCATCAGCTTGTCGCGCTTGAGCTGGTTCTCAATCTCCTCATTTCTCTGCTTTCCCTCCTTCTCCTCTGTGCTCATTCCGCAGCCCATGGTGGCGGTTAGGGACGGAGTCCGGTGTGGTGATTATGGTTGAAGTAGGTAGCGATGTTCCGTCGAGGCCGGCCAACACGGAAACCTGATAGACAGTGTCAACAAAGACTCAATGGGTGGCGGCAGCGGGCGATGCACGAGTGGAGCAGCGCGCAGGCGGGCTAGGCCGGGTGAGGGAGGAGCGATGATGGGTAAGCAAGGCTGTCGCAATGGCAGAGCAGCGGCGGCGAGTTCGAGTGCAATGGCGATGGTGAGATTGCGTGCATAAAAAAAGAGGCTCACCTGTTATTACAAAAGACTAGGACGCAATTGCGAGAGTGCTTGGGCGCGTGGGCGTGTGTGTTGAGATCAAACGGGGAAGGGGTAAAAGACGAAGAGGGTGTCAAGGGATGGCTGGCGTATGGACGACGAGGCTCGCTTCGCTTCGCTCCGAGGTCTTCAGGGTTGCTGCACGGTCGGTTCGGGGGGGGGAAGGATCGACTGGGGGTGTTCTGCAATGGCGAGGCGAGGCGAGGGCTCGGTTGGGCTGGCGGGCTGGGAGAGCAGACAACAGCGACAGCAACAAGCAAAGGCGGCGGGAGGTAGGACAACGGGCGGGAGTCGCTCGCTGCAGCAGAGGATTGTGGGAGCCGGCAGGTTGGTGACGACGTTTGGGAGAAGCAAAGAACGAAAAGATTGTATGATGAGGGCTTGAAGAAGGCCGCGAAAGGAGACGCGCTTGCCGGAATGGAGCGATGCCATCCTGGAAAGGAAGGGCCACCAGAGTCTAGCTGGGCAGGCGCGGGCCACTCTCTGCTGCTGCACCACAGGCACCATGGCAAGACCAGCACGACGGCACCACCGCGCCCACACACGCAAGCCCTCCGACACCTGCCTGTTCGTGTCTGCCGGCCATGAGCGGCCAACCCTCCTGCTTGCGGCCTAGCTGCTACACCTGCTGTTACTCTTGTTGCCGCTGCCACGGCCTGCCGCTGCTTGTCTCTGTCCATGTCTCCGGCATGTCTCTGCCGCTGTTTTGCTTTCCGTCTTTGCCTCTGCACCCAAGTAAGTACACTCCAACAAACAAATAACAACAACAACAAAGCCCCCAACCCAGGACCAAAGCTCCCGGCCTGTACACTCTGCTCACGACACACTACCTGCCCACTCCCCGCTTCCAGGAACCCGCCATTGTACCTACTTAGTCGCCCGCCCGCCTACTCTCTCACTGGCTCGCTCATCCTTTCCCCTCTCGCCTCGTCTTCCGCTGGCTCGCCGTAGTAGTAGTCTATCTCTGAATAGCAATCGATTCCGCGCCTGTCGTGCCCGTTGGACATGGAAGCGCTGTCCACCCATCCAACTCCCGAACTCATCCCGCCCGACTTTTGTCTGGCTACGCTTCTAGAAGGTTTTGTGGAAAATGAGGGCCCCATAGAATTAAGAGTAGGTCGACGCTCGGAGCCCCAGCAGATCCCAAGCACGGCTCGAAACCTTGTCTTACTCCGCCCCATGCAGCCACATACCTCCACCTCTGCACGCCCGCTCCCCCTCTGCCTTGCCTTGCCTTGCCTTGCTCTGCCTGCATTCGCTGCTGCATATCCACCCACTATATCTTGCCTCCCTGTCCGCTTCCCTATCTGTTACTGCACTTGCGTTCACAAAGAAGAAAAAAACTTCTGCTGTGCTACTCTGTTCCGCCAGCCACTTGCCGTTCGCTTCCACTGCGCCTGGACCATGCTTCTATTGGGACTTGACCACATTAAGCTAGTCCCAAAAGGTCGCCTACAGTCGCCAAACCTCCGTCGTCACATCCCCCCCTCATCTCCCCGACTCATGCACGTCACAGCCAATCGCCGCTGACGCCTGTCTCTGGTTCTATCAACCACTCTGGCTATCCTAACGGTCAAAGTAAACCATGTGCCGTCGTCATCTTGCCTCAGCGCCGCGTGCAGGTGGCAATTGCCTTGCCTCGAGGGTGCTGATCAGCTCTCATGAACGCGTAACGCTACTAACCGTTCGGCTGGCCTTTTCTGCATCCCGAACCCATTAATCGATCCCTTAGGCCCCCCAACAACCTACCACCCAGACCCTTCCATTTCTTCGCCAGGATAATGCATCCAGCGTCACGGCTTTGGTCTCGATATCTTGACTCGAACACGCGGGACGATCCACGAACCACACGTGGAAGCCATGGCCATGCGTAAGCATTTGGTGAAAAAGGGGGCATGGTATCGACCCAACAGACGCTCTACCACAGTGACAACGCCCACGCTGGTACTTTTAACTTTTGTCACCGCCTTCTTGGACGTAATCGCTCCAGATTGCTCACGATCGATCGCCCGTGCTTCTCATCGCGTACGTGCAGAGCACCCAATAGTCATTTCGAGCTGATCATCATCTTGACGATGCTCATACACGCGCATCGACTTTTTCAATCGCCGTCTTATGTTAGTTGTAGGTGTAAATACTACATATACACTGCATATGTGATGTTCTTCCGTTTCGGTCCTTCCACACTGTTCAAGCTCCACAAGCTACCCAACATAAAAGTTCCAACTGCGTCATTCTGACTCGTCAAGTTCTTATGCCCACAACATCGGACCGTCTCGTCTGCGGTCCTTCTCGTACACTACCATAGCCGCGATCTCATCATCCGCTTGTCGTTCGAGGATCGTTGCATCTGATCTGCACACCCGCAGGCAACTCTAGCCGCCAGGCACCATCGCCAAGCACGTGATGTCGATTCAACTGGAGTGGTTTTAGTAGAGCGCTTTGCAGGGTTCCGCCCATTCCCCGATGCAGGTCCATGTTTAGACCGGTATCCGGTATTCAGCATCCAAAGAACTGCAATCAGTTACTACACTGTTCAATCCAGATGCGTATAGTCAGGTGACGTTGCAACCATTGACAACGCAGAGGCACCGTCAGTCGAGTATCGCATCATATGGACCAACTGCGGCCGTGTGCTGGTACGCAGAGTCCCGCATTGTCACTAATGATGCACAACTGCAATGTATTTTCGTCTCCTGCATGCACGTAGGCCAAGGCTCGCTTTGGGGTTCTGCGCAACGACTTTCCCGATGCCGTGCAACTACTGGCTGACGTGGTAGACTAGTTTTGTTCCTCAGCGCTTAGCGCAGCATGCCAGCGCCTAGAATAGCATCTCCGCCTCACCACACTGTGTAACCGACGCCTTTTCAGTCAATCATTCTGTATTCATTCTGCGAGCGCTTACCATGGGTGTCAACGACCTCGGTATGCCCCCAATGTACCGTCTCAGCGGTTGCTCAGGCACCGCCCCGACACGGCGGCTGGCAAAGATGCCAATACATATTGGCAGCCTACCAGCCGCCGCTGGCTTGACTTGGATACTTCAACAAAACTTCATGAGGCCAAAGACGTTTTACGAATTTCCTTGAGTCTTTCTCCTTCAATTTCCTTGTCTCCTTTCGCTGCAGGTCCAGCGCTTCCTTGCATCTGCCCTCATGTCTAGATCTCCTAGTGAGTACACTCTTTGACTTGCTCCGATCTGAGAGCATGTAGCTTATGCTCGCGCAGATCTTGTACAATTATGCTTTTGTGCCATTTCAAAAGGCCATGGATACCATCAGTCTTTTTAATATTAGCTTCGCCGTTGCTGGCAGCTCCTACTGTCACTCCTACATCTCAAGCACTTCCTCAATCGCTTCAAGAAAACGTACCATCTTGTGCACAATCATGCCTACGGACTTCGCTGGACGAAAGGTTTCCTGTGGCATGCTCTGGCCAACAAAGTCTTCAGTGTCTTTGCTCTCGTTATAGTACCGCAGGAGAGTCACTTGGTGAAGTGGCCCTAGGTTGTATCTACTTGTCGTGCCCAACACAGGATTCCAAAGACTATCTAAGTGCGGCCTACGGAATATGTCTAGGACAAACATACGCCGTTGTGCCAACCAAAAGTGTTCTCACTTACGTTGTGACATCGACGGCATCGCCATCTTCAACGCAGTCGGCGACGACTCCGACCACAACCACGCCCCCGACCCCGACCATCACTTCAACTCGGCCTACCCAGACTAGTTCGACTCAGTCTGCTTTCGCTGATACTGCCTCATTAATGTCATCATCTACTTCTTCAGCGACGCCGACATCGGCTCCAGTCGCCAAAGCTGCAGATGACAAACCAAGAATGACGCCTGCACAAATCGCTGGGCTGTCAGTAGCTGCAGTGGCTGCGTTCGTCTTGGCTATCGGGCTCATGGCTTTGAGCGTGTGGCTAAGAAGACGGAAAGAGCAGCGAAACACTATGCTTTTCGATGACAAGGGCCGGGGACAGCAGGACAAGGCGTTTTCGACACGGTTCTCGCATTACGTTCCCGTACAAGGCAACTCAGACTCCGCAACGCAGCTTCCACCCGTGCCTGCACCGGCACTCGTTCAGGAGAGACGCCAGAAAGGAGCCCGCCCAGTGCAGCGGCTTGGAGTCGGAACTTCCAACAGCTCGTCCAATTCCTCATTGCCATTGGATCAAATAGGCGTGGCTATAAGCGCAGAGCTGGATGGAAATCATTTAGCTCCAAAGAAATCGGCACCAGCTGCTACCCAGAAGACAATTCCGGGTAATGGCCACCCACAGGCCAGCAATGTTCTACGCCCCATTAGTTCAATGACAGAAGAGACTGTTTTTGAAGAGGATGAACCAGGCTCGCATCGGAGATCTTCGATGATGCCGCCCACGCCTCAAGTTCCAGTCCTACCTATCCGCTCGTTGCAACCCGCTAGGACAGCACCGTATCCCAGCAACAGCAACGCCCGTAAAAACAGCCGAAACTCTGAGTTGTTTCTAGAAATTCCGTCCAACAAGAGAGGACAGCAATCGAAACGGATGATTGTAGCAGAACTGCCTGGGAATAGTGCGCCACAACCTCGCCCGCAGCCCGCGACACGCCCCCGTCTCGCATCGCCTTTCCAGCAACCATCCACAGCTACTTCATATGAGTCCAAAGCTACGACTGCAAGCTCGCGCGACGACAGCGCCTCCGGAGATATCATTGACTATTACTTTTCCAACCATCGAAACCGTGAGGCGCCTAAGGCTAGTCCTACGCGCATCATACGGCCTAAAGAGTCACCCAAAACAGTCGAGATTAGGCAAAAGAAGTCGTCTAGTACGCTTTCTCGGACTTGGACGAACCAGCGTGATTCGTTGTCTAGCCAGACGTCTTTTGAAACAGTCGATCCCAATGATCCGACGCCTGAAGACGAAGACGACCAGAAACAGCTTTCCGACGACAGCAACAATAATGTGCCGCAACTGTCACCGGTCGCGGAATCCCCAATTTCCAATTTGCGGTATCCGAAGGTGCCGCGAGCCTCGAATCAGCTAGTATCACGCAGCCCACAGCAACACAGGTTCCAGAGTCCACACCGAGTCCCGGATGCATCGTCGCTTCTTCATAAACGCAACAACACTCTTCCCCCGCTTCTTCTTGAATCGCGGCCCCGACTTGAGAGTCCGCACCGCGATCCGTTCACATCACCGCCGCGCCGTGTCGTCAGCCCACCTCGTAACAACGGCCGCTCTCATGTGCGCAGCATCAGCGCCGAGTCATGGAACATGACACCCGCCTCTAAGAATAGCATTGATAGAAAAAGCCGTGTGCAGAGCGGATCGTGGGGTAAGAGCCCGGTCATGTACGAGGAGCAGGCTGTGAGGCCTCTGAATGTGAGGAGAAAGAGAGAGGACATGACGGAAGTAAACATTGGAAGAGACGTCAATGTTGACTTTGACGTAGACGGGCTTAAGAGTCCTGTGTGGGTTCCAAGACTGACGCCGAGGAAGAAGGGTGAAGATCTCTTTCTGGAGGTTGGGTGGGGAGATGGTGTGCGAAGGTGAGAAGTCCAACATACACGGAGCGGACGATTGACTTGATTCTTGACTATACATATACCCTTTCATTTGTCTTGTGTATACAATTTTCTAATGTAGGGGGAACTGGGGGCGGAGACTGAACTTTAGACCTGACTGTACTTTTCTTAGCGTTATTTCTATATGTTTACTCATTGTTCCTTGCTCGATTGCACACAGGCGCGCGTGTCGCTATACATGGATCGATTGGTGCTTGGCACGCAGGCTCTGGTTGGTGTTTATCAGGGTATTAACAGGGTAAAATGGGCTCCGAGTCCCGCTTAGGGCTAATTACAACATCAACACCAAACCCCACGTTGTTACAGTCGTCGAATGCGCCCTCGGAGAATAGGTTAAATGACCGGCTCTAGTCCAGAGGAGGGTTCGTCCGTAGAGTAGACCTTGAGCCTCAAACAGCGTCTCGGCCGCGGCGCCGATCTCGGTTGTGTGTCGGCCATAGGCGCCCGGAAGAATTACATTGAGGTTTTTCGTCGGCTTTTGCTCTGGCCGGTTGGCTGAGGGAAGACGATGAAACTGGCCATAGGAAAAAAAACGACAATGGCAGTGGCGGCCGGTGCACTGTGACCCGAATACGGTGCTTCTCGGCGCGTGGCGAAAGAGGGACGCAAGGATAGAGCAGGCAAGAGGTTAGTAAGAGACAGTCAGTGGGCCGGACTGGCAATTGGGGTGTCCTGGCCAGCGCAATTGCGGCTTACTCTATCCGCTTGCATTGGGAAGACAGAGTGGGCTGTGAGTGGGACTGATTGATGTAATCAGGCTGGCTCAAAGGACCCCACCTACATGTCCACTTTTGGTGCATCATATCTGAGGCAAGGCATGACGGCCTTAGCACCCACCCCCACTACCCTACAAAACCTAAACACCGTAGCCCGCTGTCTCCCGCGATCTTCTTTCTTTTCTCTTCCAATTCTTTTTTCATCGACAGTCTGCCCATCATGCCGTACGGAAAGACCGATGAGCTTGCCATCAACACCATCCGAACCCTAGCGGTACGTCTCTCTTACCTCTTGTTCTCCCCCGCTATGCTTGCGCAGCTGCCCCGCTCGCGGCAAGCTTCTCTCCCACCCAGCAAGCAAGCTAGCTCTACAAGCACCGATCATGAATTTGAGAGGCTACCGAACGACTCAATGGCTGACTTTTTGCGTCTTTGTAGGTCGATGCCACATTCCAGGCCAACTCGGGTCACCCGGGTGCGCCCATGGGCATGGCCCCAGTGGCCCACGTCTTGTTCAACAAGTTCATGACGTTCAACCCCAAGAACCCCAACTGGGTCAACCGCGACCGCTTTGTCCTTTCGTACGTATTTTTCTGCCTTTTTACAATTTCCGGTGGCATCCGCCCTCTACGTTGTCCGCCATGTAGCTAACTTGAGCGCAGCAACGGTCACGGATGCATGCTTCAATATGCGCTCATCCACCTTTTCGGCTACGATGTCAGCATTGAGGACCTGAAGAAGTTCCGTGTAAGTACATATATTTTCTATGAAAAAGGCAGATTCTAACTCGTCGCAGCAAATCGACAGCATCACGCCCGGCCACCCCGAGTCTCACGACACCCCCGGTATTGAAGTCACTACTGGCCCTCTCGGTCAGGGTTTCGCCAATGCCGTCGGTCTCGCCATTGCCGAGAAGCACACCGCAGCCGTATTCAACAAGCCCGGCTACGAGCTGATTAACAACTCCGTATTCATGTTCTTCGGCGATGGTTGCGCTATGGAGGGTATTGCCAGCGAGGCTGCTTCAATGGCTGGCCACTTGAAGCTTGGCAACCTCATTGCCATTTACGACGACAACCACATCTCCATTGGTGAGTTTTTGGCGAATTCGGTGAATGGCGATTTGATCTAACTTTTTGCAGACGGTGACACCAAGTGCGCATTCACTGAGGATGTCTCCAAGCGCTTCGAGGCGTACGGCTGGCACGTCCAGCACGTCCCCGACGGTGACTCTGACCTCGAGGGCATCGAGAAGGCTATCGCCGAGGCCAAGAAGGTCACCGACAAGCCCTCGATGATCAAGCTCACTACCACCATCGGTTTCGGTTCCGTTCTCCAGGGTACTGGCGGTGTCCACGGCAACCCCCTCAAGGCCGATGACTGCAAGCAGGTCAAGGAGAAGTTCGGCTTCGACCCCGAGAAGATGTTCCAGGTACCCCAGGAGGTATACGACATGTACCACAAGCACGCAGCCGAGGGTGCTGCTGCTGAGGAGGAGTGGAACAAGCTTTTCAAGAAGTACGGCGAGGAACACAAGGAGCTTCACGCTGACCTCGCCCGCCGTCTGACTCGCGACCTCCCTGAGGGCTGGCAAAAGGCCCTTCCCACATACAAGCCTAGCGACCCTGCGATTGCCTCAAGAAAGCTTTCCGAGTCTGTTCTGGAGGCCATCCACGACGTTGTTCCCGAGCTTCTCTCCGGTTCTGCCGATCTGACTGGCTCCAACAACACCAGGTGGAAGAAGGCCATTGACTTCCAGCCTCCGGATCTCGGCATTGGCGAGTGGTCTGGCCGATACCTGCGATATGGTGTCCGTGAGCATGCCATGGCTGCTGTCATGAACGGAATGTCCGCATACGGAACCATTATCCCCGCTGGTGGTACTTTCCTCAACTTTGTCTCATACGCTGCCGGTGCCGCCCGTCTGTCTTCGCTCTCACACCAGCGCGTCATCTACGTTGCTACCCACGACTCGATCGGTCTTGGTGAGGACGGTCCTACTCACCAGCCTATTGAGACTCTTGCCCACTTCCGTGCTCTGCCTAACATGATGGTGTGGCGCCCAGCCGACGGAAACGAGTGCTCTGCTGCTTACTACATGGCGCTCACCTCCAAGGGCACGCCATCCATTCTTGCTCTTACTCGTCAGAACCTGCCCCAGCTTGAGGGCTCAACACTCGAGAAGGCTATCAAGGGAGGATACGTTGCTCTTGAGGACAAGGACGCCCAGATCACCCTCGTTTCCACTGGTTCCGAGGTTTCTCTCTGCCTTGAGGCCGTCAAGACCCTCAAGGAGCAGGGCATCACTGCCCGTGTTGCTTCGCTGCCTTGTTTCGAGGTCTTTGACGCTCAAGACAAGGACTACAAGCTGTCGGTTATCCCTGGCGGCATCCCATCGCTCAGTGTTGAGGTCATGTCCACCATGGGTTGGGAGAAGTACTCTCACGAGCAATTTGGTCTGAACCGGTTCGGTGCTTCTGGCCCATACAAGGAGGTCTACAAGGTAAGAATAATCGAATATTTAAAATGCTTGAGACAAATGCTAATGCCCATTACAGAAGTTTGAGTTCACCCCCGAGGGCATTGCTAAGCGTGCCAAGGCCACCATTGACTTCTACAAGGAGGTTAAGCCTCTGCGGTCTCCTCTCGACCGTGCTTTCCAGCAGCTTATCTGAGTGTTTGATAGCGTAGGGTTTGGTTCTGGGGGCAGAGGATTCGAGCATAGCCTTGCGATGAGTGACGAAATTAATAAGCGGCAGCCCGCTTGAAGAAAGATATCAACCAATGTATAGAATTTGATTCATTTGACAAAAATCTTTGTGTGTAAACTTGACTTGTATGTGCTTGTTGTGATGAATTTGGCCCATTTTCCCTGCATGACGCAAAGGTCCCTGGTGGTGATGATCGGCGGGCGTTCCCCTCGGCTCCGGCGCCGCATGGTCAACTTTTTGCGACATCATCGCCGCCATCACCACACACGGCTAGCATGTCGCGGTCCGGCAGAAGCAATGTTGCTGCTGCGAGTAGTAGGGAATCGCCATTGTCAGGTGGTATCTTTTCTGTCCCTGCGCCGATAAAGCAACTTTTCGACCAATTCCCGCTCCTCACATACCCCGTCAACGAGTTCCCACAGCGAGCACCACAACACCACAATGCACATGTGCTGTACGTCTTCACTACAGAGGAGGGTGCTCTTCGAGAGACACCATCCTACAACCCAGCGTGCCTGAAATGGCAGGTCAGTACATGGTTGCGCATTCATTACCCCACCACAGGCTCACCATGTCGCAGGCATATCTCAAGTTCTCCAAGATACCGTTCCAGATAGCCTCAGCAAACAACCATGCGTCTCCAAGTGGTTCTTTGCCATTCGTCCTCCCCTCGTCGGATTCAACCAAGCAATCACAACCTGTACCGTCCAATAAACTACAGCGCTGGGCAATGAACAATAGCGACAAGGCAATTGAAGAGCCAGGAGATGCGCAATACGAGGCATACTTGAGCCTGATAGACCACCGGATACGCAGAGCTTGGGTACGTCTGGCTAGAACGGAATGCTTGGGCTACAACTAACATATACTAGCTCTACGCTGTGTATCTCTCCCAGAATTTCACCACCATTGCCGAACCTCTGTATATCCTGCCGACCTCGCGCAACCCGTTTGTGCGTCTCGCAATATCCCGCGAACTGCGCCTAGCCGCCGAAGCCGAACTCGCCAAGTTCTCCAGCATCATCAGTGACGAGACATTATATAACCAGGCAAGCGAGGCTTTTGCTGCACTGGAAATGCTGCTAGGAAAGGACGATTGGTTCTTTGGAGCGCAGAGGCCGGGCTTGTTCGATGCGAGTGTTTTCGCATACACACATTTGCTATTGGATGATAAGCTAGGCAAGGGGTGGGTGGACACGCGGTTGCGCGACGCGCTAATGGCATGTAAACGCCTGGTCACGCATCGAGAGCGGATTTTGGCCAAGTATTTTGAGAAGTCAACATAGACCAGAGGGATTGTATGTACGCTTTACGACCTGTAATATTAACAATTAGATGTGAATGCCATGCAGGACACTGCTGGTACGTGTGTGGATTGTTTGGACTCTATCTTGAAACAATCGGCTGTGATTAGATGAAAGGCAAGCAGATGGCTAATGTTCGTTACTAGTGCGAGCCAGAACACGACAGAGGGCGCAGATGTGAGTCATGTCACGGGAGCCTGCACGACATATTTCCCGATTAGGCAATTCTGAATACAAGTTCAGCATAGACAGGGCGCGGAGAAGATTCATTGGCTAAGAGACTACAACTATATAGATGGTGTCAGGCACCCATCCAACACGACGAAAACAACGACAACGCAACTCAGGCTCTTTCTCCTCGAACCTATCTATACTAAGATCGAAGAAAAATGACAGAACCAACGACCGTCGATATGACATTCGACACTTCCCTCGTGGATGTCAAACCACCCACCATTGACGCAAACACATCTTTTTCAACTGTGGAATCAGATCAAGCAAGTACATCTACCGTCCAGCCACGACCCCGAGTACCAATCCACCACGTACCCACGCAAGACGCATACAACCAATGGGCCTCTCAGTACGATTCCGACGGCAACATGCTCCAAGCCATCGACGATATCGAACTCACCACCTTCCTCCCCTCTTTCCTATCACAAATCCCCAATCCCAATCCCGCCCCCTCTTCCATAGCAGAAAAAGAACAAGTCAAACTCCGCATCCTCGACCTCGGCTGCGGCACCGGCCGCAACACCCTCAAACTCCTCCAGCACTTGACCCAAAGCCCTTGTTCCAATCCGAGCAAAATCATCGGCATCGACTTCTCTTCAGCCATGCTCGATATAGCCCGCTCAAAACTCTCCCCTTTCGCCGTAGAAACCTGGGTCTTGCACTGCTGCGACATGTTTTCCTCTTCACCCTCCTCCTTAACTATTGATCCAGTCCACGCCATCCTCTCCACCCTCGTCCTCGAGCACATTCCGCTCCCAACTTTCTTTTCCACCCTCTCTTCCTTACTCTTACCCTCTGGTGTAGCTCTGATTACCAATATGCACCACGAGATGGGAAGGTTGGGTGGACAGGCGGGGTTCGTGGATGTTGAAACGGGGGTTAAGGTGAGGGGAGCCAGTTTTGTGCATGAGGTTGGCGAGGTGCTTGAGCAGGCAAGGGAGAGTGGGTTTGAGGTGGTGGGGGTGAGGGAGAGGGAGGTTAAGAGGGGGGATTTGGATGGCGGGGTTGTTGGGGGGAGAGGGGAGAAGTGGGTTGGGGTTAAGGTTTGGATGGGGGTTCTGGTGAGGAAGGTTAAGTGAGTGTGGGAGGTGGAAGAGAAGGAATAGTTGTGGTGTTTGTTGTTGCTGTTATTTTGAAGTGGGATGTTGTAGTGTTGATACTCGTCGAGTTTTTCTCTGTGCTAGCTTTTGAGTTTCTAGTCATTAGTTGTGTTGGTATGACATTCTCGTATTAGATCTCAATGGAAGATATATTTTGTAGCTTTTAGTTTTCCACATCACCACAAAGTATACTTGATTTTCCCCTTAGCTGTAACTCAGATCTTATACCTTACGAAGTGAGATTCCAAAACGATGAGCCCATGAAGCAGCGAGCATACCTTGAAACAAACAAACATGCAATCTAACTTCAAGTATGATTGCCGTATTATTAAATACAAGACCGCTGAACACAGGCTTCATGCAGGGATCCAGCGTTGACCCAATCAAAAGTCATCATGACGTCAATTACTGTTCATACTGTGATACTACCACGGATTCCTCCGTGACAACAGTGAACAGTCTGAAAGATACAATTGTCAATTCAGCCAGCAGAAAGACATCAGTTGATCTTCAAGCAATTCCAATACTACAGCACCATGGATTCACTCCCGGTAAACAACAAGACAGCCGGCGAAGCAGAAAGCACATACAACAAAACACTGGAAACGGGTGCTGGAGCAACTCAGGTAATTTTGCAGTCCAAAAAAGGGTTCTTTTGCGACATAGTATTTTTTTGACTGATGAATTTGAACAGAACTTTGCTCCTGTAAAGCGCGTCTGCGCCCACCTCAACGCCTTCCACGCCTATGCCGACGATCCCAAGCGCGCTGCTGTGGAGGCAAATCACTACTGTGCGCATCTCAACGACGAAGTGCGGCAATGTATCCTCTACGACTCACCCGAGCCAGGCGCCCGCATCATTGGTATTGGTGCGCACACCCCTCCCCACCCATCCCCTCTCTACTTGAAAGTAGGAGTAGTACTGACTAGCTAATCTAGAATACATGATATCCCCGAAACTCTACGCAACCCTCCCCACCTCGGAGCAAACCCTCTGGCACTCGCACGTCTTCGAAGTAAAATCCGGCATGCTAATCATGCCGCGTCCGTCCGGTATTCCCGAAGCCGCCTGGGAACTCGCCGAGAACCGGGAGATGGAAGAAGTCGTCCAGCTGTACGGCAAGATCTACCATTTATGGCAGACGGACCGTGGTGATAAGTTACCACTGGGCCCACCACAGCTTATGACGAGTTATACGGCTGCGGAACAGATGCCGGATTTTGAGGCGAGGATAAAGGAGAGGGATGAAAGGTTTGGGAGTGATTATAGTAGGAAGAAGGGGGTCAGGGAGTATATTGAGGTGCCAGAGATTCATGAGAATGCGGATGCGACGTGGGCGAAGGGTGGGGTAGGACATGGAGGCGCCAGCGAAGGAAGTGGGTGAATGGCGTGCGCGAGGCGTCGGGATCGGGTGTGCGCCAGGAATTATAGCATTGGGGGTATCAATGTCCCCTCTCCTCTCGATAGGGGCGTGGTTGTCAGGCGTGGTGCTTTTCTTCCTGAGATTTGGGACCTCGCCCCCAAACGGAAACCTCGGATATCAAACGTGGGTTCGTCGCATCATGGGCCGGTCGTGTTTGGAAGAACCTCGATTTTGGCCGGGTCAGGCTTTTCTCGTCGCCCCAGTAGTTTCCCCAAGACGTCCTTTTCTTTGTTGTCATCTTCTTCTTCGGCGTCGCTCGTGCCTTCTGTGTCGCTCTCCGCTGCGTTTGGGTCTTTCTCTTCCAGCACGCCGAGTCCGAGATCCTAAGTCGTGTTGGTTAGCAAAAAAAAAACTTTGAGACTTGTCTTTTGCATCTTCTTTTTTTGGTTCTTGACAAACAGGCATAACACTCACCATCTCAATGTACGGCTCGCCTTCTTGCTGGTCCTCGGCATCTAGCCTCCTCAATGTACCCGCCCGCTTCTGTGCCTCGAGCTCTTCATTTGCAGCCTTGAGACGCGGCAGGAAGTCCTTGAGAAAACCTCTGATATCGGGGCCCATTTCAGCCTTGGTCAGCTTCATGATGGGTTTTGTGCCTCTGTTTGCGCGGAGGTTGACGACGCCATCTGTGCCTTTTGCTTCGTCTAGCTCCATTTCTGTGTCTTCACCGTCGTCGTTTTCGTCATCATCGTCTTCTTCTTCGCTCGAGCTCTCGTCGCTGCTGGGCTCTTCGCTAGATTCAGAGAGCGTGCTGTCCGTGTCTGAGGTGCCATAGTCGCTTGCGTTTGTCACCGTATCGCCGATAGCGTTTGTCGATGCGAGCGCGGATTGTGACGACATGGACGGCGAAGAGGTGGGCTCGTTAGAGAAGCGCACGCTCTTGGTGCGATGCGGAACTGAGTCGTGCGTGTACTGTGCCATGGCTTTCTTCGGCAGTATTAATCAAACAGGGTCGTGACCTTGGCGAGTGTGTGAGAGAGGGGCTATACGAAGGAGAAAGGTAACACGGGTGTTGTGTTTAATACAGAATGAACGGCCCAAGAAAAAAGTTGTGCAAAAGTTCGGGCGCGCGCCGCTGGACCATTCTTTCACGGAACGGGTGCGCCGAACGTGCGCAAAAAGATAGACCGGCGGCAGGATTGCTACGTCACCCCGCCCGCCTCGCCTTGCCTCGTCTGCCCTAGCTAGCATACTTCAATCGACAAAGATCAGCATTACATATTTACTTCTGGGGGAGGTCTGCCTATAGTCGGTATGATCCGAATGCATATCGGATGGAGGTGCATACCGACGCCGGCCGTGTGGCTTGTTACGTTGTACGTTGGCCTGAGGCTGCAAGTCTATTCCCATTGGTGTCAGCAGGGGTCTTGAAACGGGGTCTTGAAACGTAGTCAGAGCGGGCGTCTGCATGGATGACCTTCTCTCTCCGGTCGAGCTTCTTTAAAGAGTCCCCTATCTTGCCTTACAACATATTCACTTCTTCCAACGTCTTCTCCGCCAGTCCTTTATTTTTGTCTGCCGAGCTGTTGTTGCTGCTGAACAACTCTTCACGTACGAGTAAACTGTCGGTGTGTACGGAATTGCCCCTCTTTCAGCTGTTCGACAAGCATTACCATCGGGGTGTCAACCTATTGCTGTTAGGTTACAAGAGAAACGTGCGGACTAGTGTTAGGTATGTTTTAGGTTTCCTGTCATTCTTTTAGTCGACCACTTAATCCCCTCAATTCGCTGTCTCTGGCTATTTGTCTGTCAAGCGTGCTTGGCGGAAGCCTGGTGTAAGGACTTTTGTCCCGACAGCCTTGAGATGTCTGATAACAGTCATATATCTTCCTCAGCCATGGTTTCACCATGAGTTCCTTATACGTGCAAGTACCTACATTTCCGGGTTATCTTCACGTGCTGTCCGATGACATGTCTACACCACCACCGTTTCAGGCGTTGCGGCGTTTAGATGCCTAGGCGGAAACGTAAGAGCTTTGCAATTGCTCACCCTCAAACATCTTTCTGCCTTCAAACCCAGCAACCAGTCCCAGGTCTGCCTCGCATTCAAGTTACGGATATTTCCAACCTTGGCCATGTTTCACGGCACATTTCATGTCTATTCGTTTTGTCACGATTTACCTCCATTACTTAACTGCTAACTCTGCACAGAATAGGATTCCTGCTCGCTACCACATTTTAGTGTCTCTTCTCTAAAAAGTCTCTACGCCACTAAGCACGGTGTACCTTAGCCAACAAGGTCACGTAAGAGTCTAAGATTGATTTTGACCATATATCAGCATTTCAAGAGGAATCCCCTTGAGCCTACGTCGTTCTATCACTTAATTCATTCAACAATCATTCATCATGGCTAGTCGATTCCCCGCGCTCAGCACCTCCAACCTCCCCGCTGCATCTTCTGAAGAGCAGGCAGCAACCGCATCGCCCGCACGTGGAACCGCTATGCTCAACAACATCTTCAAATCGGTGCGTGTTCCCGAATTCCGCTTCAAGTGGGTGTTCTGGGCCGAAAAGGGGCAACAAGCACCGCCCAAAGACAAAGCGGCGGCATCGGAAGAATACCTCACACGCCCCAAACCTCTGGGTGATCAAATTGTGTCTGTCAAGGAGTTTTACCAGCATTTCAACAACATTCCAGTTGAGAACCTCAAACTGCGCGACTCGATACATCTCTTCCACTTGGGCGTCAAGCCAGTATGGGAGGACCCACGAAATACGCGCGGAGGAGCATGGTACTTTAAAGTCAGCAAGGACCTCGCAGCGCAATTCTGGCACGAGATGTGTCTGCTTGCTGTAGGTGATGTGTTGCAAGGAGCCGTTGAAACGAAGCGAGCTTGTAAGTTCTATTTCCAGCCATTTTTTGTCATTGTAAACTTTACTGACTATGCCAAGCTTTCAATGATGACATTTGTGGCATTTCATACAGCGTTCGTTGGAACGCGGTCCAGATTGCCGTGTGGAACCGCGATGCAGAGAACGAGGAAGGTCGCCAGAAGCTACTGGCGGTTATTCTCGACAAGATTTCTGAGGAGCTGCGGCCGAAGAAGGAGGATAGCTACTGGTACAAGGCTCACAAGGAGCACAAGGGCTTCATTGAGCAGCAGTGAGCGGATTATGTGCAGGCTGTGGATGACGGGAGAGCATTCTAGGATTGGCATGAGATAAATTCAAGAGACCTTGAATTGTTGCATATTTGCATAAGACAATCGGCGTTTGCGAATACATTATTTTGAAGTCGTTTTTAGCTGCACCCGCGCGACAATATTGGGGGTGCCTACAGCCTCACTTGCGACCCCGCCTTTCAACTTTACCATGCGCTGCGGATTCTCGGAATCAATTGCAAACTGCTATGCGCTCACACAAACACCTCGATAATAGCTTTTCAATGCTCTGAAATACCAATCCACATTCCCCATCTGATTCAAACTATCCGTCAGGCAACGGTCATGGTGCGCCAATCACGAGCATGGTTCGCCGCAAAGCACAGGCCACATGTAGAAGCATCATCCACTTCTCATAATCCTCCGCACTCGAGCCACTGCCGCCTCCCACCATCCAGTCGTCCCCCTCTCAACCGCCCAACATGGCCGCGATTCCCACATCCCTCTTTCGCTGGGTCGTCCCCGCCGCCATTGGCGTCAGCGTGGTACAATCCTCCATCTACGATGTCAAGGGCGGTACCCGCGCAATTATCTTCGATCGTCTGTCCGGAGTCAAGGAGACTGTCGTCAACGAGGGCACACATTTTCTGATTCCATGGCTGCAGAGGGCCGTCGTGTTTGATGTCCGGACTAAGCCGAGGAACATTAGCACCACGACGGGAAGTAAGGACTTGCAGATGGTTACTTTGACACTGAGGGTGTTGCACCGACCGGAGGTTAAGCAACTGCCTAAAATCTACCAGGTAAGGATGCAACCACGAAAAAGAATATCCTGGCTTTTTGGAAGCAATTATTTGGGATCAAGATGTTAATAGACTATTAGAACCTCGGTCTTGACTACGACGAGAGGGTCCTTCCCTCGATTGGAAACGAAGTCCTCAAAGCCATTGTCGCCCAGTTCGACGCCGCAGAACTCATTACTCAGCGAGAGGCTGTGTCAAACCGCATTCGCGCCGATCTACTGAAGCGCGCCAACGAGTTCAACATTGCGCTTGAAGACGTCTCCATCACACACATGACGTTTGGCAAGGAATTCACCAAGGCGGTTGAAGAGAAGCAAATCGCACAGCAGGAAGCAGAGCGCGCGCGATTCATTGTAGAAAAGGCAGAGCAGGAAAGGCAGGCCAATGTTATTCGCGCAGAGGGTGAAGCCGAGGCAGCGGATACGATTAGCAAGGCTGTGGCAAAGAGTGGTGATGGCCTTGTTCTGATTAGGCGGCTGGAATCCCAGAAGGACATTGCGCAGATACTGGCAAGGAACCCGAACATCAGCTACCTGCCTGGCGGGGCTGCTGGCAACGGCGGTGGGTCAAGTGGCGGCAGCTTCCTGCTGGGCCTGAGGTCGTAGATGGAACGAATGCAGATGAATGACGACGGGGGTGTGTGGAAAATGCCTAGCCGGCGTAACACCGGCGTATGGCTGCTGTACAATATACTAACCACGGGCATGATAACACTTCTCTACCAAATGTGAATATAGTCTCCTCTGTGTTTCGCCTCTATTTTTGTTTCCTTACAGCCTGGTAACAGAAAGACAAATCTTATCGCCAGAGGCGCATGTCAGGTTGTGGCCTGCCAAAATTGTCATTTTCCAAATCAAACGCTATCACTCTTCTTTTTGATCGACATGATGGGTGATGGGCGAGAGACAGGTCAAAAGTCTAAAAACGTCACGAAGGTTTTGCAACAAGTTTGACGCAGTCAAGACCACACCAGTCGTGAAGTATTACAAAGAAAAGGAAATCCTCAGGCTCCTTGGCCAAAACTTCCTTGGCCTAAACGTACATACTCAAATACCATGTTTCCCTTTTGGCTTACCACATCCACTCACATCTAGAACCCCATATCCCCACCCATGTATTCAAATTACAAAAGCAAAAACAGAATGTAGAAGGCAAAGCGAAGAAAAATCCGCAAAGATTCCCCCAAAAAGGAAAGAGAAAAACAGGTACCAAGTTGAATCGTTCCAGAAATTGTCATTTTCTCAAACTGTAATGTTTTGACACATTGTCCGCCTCAGGCGCCTTTTTTTGGGTATTGCCGGTTTAGGGGTTGGTTGCTTTCGGTCGCACGAGTATCCGAAACCGTGTCTCTTTTTTTCCCCAGAATAAGTCGGGTTCCTGTTTAATGCGAGAGAGGAGTGCGTGGAAACATGCAGCCGAATCTATTCTCCCCCGTTCTCCCCCGCAAACTCGCTTAGATACACATAGATATGTATGCAACGAGACAACCTTGTGGATTTGGGTAAGAGAGAGGTTTGTGATTTAGGGAAAAGGGCCGGTCTGAGGACTCGAGGTTTGGAAACTGGGGATTAAGGTTTGTTCAAGGACGGAAAAGGTCACGTGAGTGTGGTGATGGGAGGGATTGCGAGCCAATGATGTGGCGGAGTTGGTTGTGGTGTGTGTTGCAATGCCTGTTTCGGAAAGGAAAGTAGTGCACAGGCAAGCACGAGCAAGGCGTGATAAAGTGGCGCGGTCGTTACAATCCCAGTCGCAGATCCCGAGGGGAACGACAGAACGAGGGCAGCTTTCTTTCTCGTGTGCACGACTCAGGTTGCTGTTTCTGAGTGTCACCGATGCATTAAAACATAGCGCTGGGGTGTTGAACGAAGGATGATTCCCAGGCAGCGACAAAACAGCGGCGGTCGGGGGATACGTGATGGGCTAGTAGTGCTGGGCTGTTCGTCATGAGGGGTTTGGGCATGAAATTTCAACAAAAAAAGAGCTGCGCCTCTTCCTGGACGGGATGTGTGACTGCGCTGGTTTACTGGGGTACGAAAATGATAGGGCGAGAGGTGGTATTTCGTGTAGCATGGATGCCCTAGGCAGTCGGTGAGGTGGCTGTGCATGGGAGCAAACTTGTAATGCAGCCAATCAGACGAGCTGTGGCCATGCAGCGTGGCTTGACAGCCTAGAATCCGCCCTGGCAGGCTCACCGGCAGGCGCTCTCAGCTTGTAGCATTCGTGAGCGGCGCATTGTCGACTGCAACTATAATACTTTATGGCAACCTTCGCGAGGGGCGAAGTTGTTCAGTACACGTCTCCCTTCTTACCCCATACGTACGTAAACGAAGATACACATACTTACGCCCTTTTCGCTTAGCCATGGCTGTTGTTCAGCAGCAGCGGTGCAGCAAGCAGACGAGTATCATCCTTACCCTTCGCATTCTGCTATTTGTCAAGCAGCTTCGTCGACGTGTCGAGCCGCGTGTGCACAATGGCTCATCAATCGACTCGGGCAGACTTGGCATCAGGCTATTCCGATCGTCGGGCGAGTCGCACACGCCGGCTTCGGCTGCTCCCGCAAGTCGAAACCTGGCTGGAGACAAGGTGCAACAGTACGTTTTTGGAAGCTTTTGTTTGGTTTCATCTGGCTCACATGTGCCGGCCCTAGGATGCTCTGCACACTCGACGGCAAAGTCGGTGCTAGTACAGGAAACGCTTTTTCGGTGACTGCGAGTAACAGCGCCCTCTTCCTCAAACACAGCAATGCGGCGATCATCGAGGGGCGTTCCATGAACGAAACTATCCAGCTCTTGGCTGCCGTGCACGGCGCCATCAACGTGCTTGCAGACTGCCGCCGGCAGTATGGCGACGAGTGGCTGCTCGCCCAAGGCCTCGATGCAGGGCTGGTGCTCGACGACAGCTTCATTGCCAACTACGAGCACTTGCTGCTGCGCCTGCAGACGGACCTGGTCGCGGCACTGTCGCGCAAGGTGCTTGACGAGTTGCTGCGGGGTGGGCACGACAAGAAGCAACGCAAGCTGCTGGGCTGGTTCGCTGAATTCGCCGAGAAGCCACAGGCGCTGAGCACATCGTTCCCGTGGACGATCAAGCCGTCGCTGGCAGTACTGTGGGGAGTGTGCTGGATGTTCTACGAGTGCGCCGGTCAAGGACAAGGACAGGGACAGGGACAGGGCGAGGAGCAGATGAACAACGAACGAGCGCGAGTGCCTCTCGACTGCGTGCTGCAAAACATATCTCTGGCGTGGGATAGCGGTGCATCGTCCGACTGTAGGTGTTGCAAGCTTCTTTGGGGTTGTGTCTACTACACAGCCGGCGGCTTACACGTCGAGGCTAACGCATTGTAGATGTCAGTCTGGGCCGGGCGTTGATTGGCTCTCAGGCGCAGCAGGACGCCTCTTTGCATGCACAAGCAGCAAACGCGCGGGTGGATCTTGGGCACAGCGTGTTCCAGGCACGAAACACGGAAACCTGGGAATCCGACTTTGGGTCCACGGGCAGGCTGCCGGCCTTGGTGGAGAGTCAGGCAGGGTCAAGGGCGGCCACAGAGGCGGTTGCAAGTAAGTGCCTAGTTAGTCACAGTCGTGTGCTGTCCCGTCTGTGTTTGACTCACGCCTGCTCTCGACACCCGGGTTTCAGCCTGGAAGCATCGCGCACCACCTGCTAACTAATCCAGCCCACCAAGATACTTATTACGCCCATGCCGCCCGCTACTACCAGCCAGTCCAGCCCGTTAATTTGTATTCGCCTCATAGTCCAGGCTCTGCTGCGCCACTCACGGCCTATCCGCACCTTGGCAATCTCCATCATCCTAACCATCCTACTCACTCTTGGCACCACTCCGCGTTGCCACCTCAACTTCCTCCGCGTCATCTGATTAACACTGCGCATAATCCGACAATCAGAGTCACCACCGTCCCGGACGACGACTTGTTTGCTCCGCCACAAACAGGCTTCGCGTCGCCTGCTATATATCGCCAACCTGAGGCCCCCCTCAACTTGAACTCCCCCTACTACCACCACTACTCTCCCTCCCTTTTCAACATGACTGATCTCGCCCCCACCCCCGCCACTACTCTGCCTGCTCCCCACGAGCACAAGCGCACTTCCTCAGTCAACTCATTACTCGGCGACATGCCTACTCCAGTTAGCCTGAGCTGTCCGCGATCTCCCATCATGACTTCACCAACCACCGGAGAGCGCAGACAATCACTGGCTGCCAGCCCCCCAAGATCCCACAGCAGAGGTTTGTCCGTCGACTCCTCGCAAGATGGTGACGACGACGGATCTCTACGGAAGAACCACAGCTATAAGCGCGCCGAGGAGCCGCCGCGCAACGAAGACGGCAAGATGGTCTGCAAGCACCAAGAGTGCCAGGGCGTCTCATTTGATCGCAAGTGCGAATGGAGGTAAGTTTTGTTCCCCGCACCCCAACATTATTACTTGAAACCAAAGATTACTAACCTTGCTTACAGCAAACACATGGACAAGCATGATCGTCCCTACAAATGCAATGCCAAGGGCTGCGAAAAGCTCCAAGGATTCACTTACAGCGGTGGTCTTCTCCGCCACGAGCGTGAGGTCCACAAGATGCACGGTGGTACTAAGAAGTCACTTTTTTGTCCGTTCCCCGACTGCAAGCGCAGCTCCGGCGCCGGCTTCACGCGGAAAGAGAATCTCGCTGAGCACATCCGCCGCGTCCACCGGAGAACGTCAATGTCAGCAGACTTGCACGGACTCGTCATTCGCCGTGACATGGTTCGTCGCGAGATTGAAGGCTCGCCCATCCGTGAGTCACATGCTCCAGAGTCACCTTACATCCGCCCCATGGAGTACCGCGAGGAAGAGGACCTCACCATGAAGCGCAAGCGTGGTGCCTCTGACTCTGAAGTCTCTGAGCGCGACAATGACGAGATGCGCTCTGAGATCAAGCGGCTGCGACAGGAGAACGAGGAAAAGGACTCGCGGCTCAAGCAGCTGGAGCAAGCCGTTATGGCGCTCCAGCAACAAGGCCGCAGATAAATGTTTAGCAGATTTGGCCACTGGGTTTTCTTTCTTTTCTTTTCTTTGAGGAGTTTGATTGATCACTGCATTGGGAAAGGAGTTTGGGCAACGGTTCGGTTCGCCCCCTTTTTATCTTTCTGTCTATAACACTCTCCTCAAACAGTCTCACACTCCCCTACCCATACCCTAACAAGCGCGCTCATTGTATATAAATTTCCCCTCCGGGCGACTATGATCTCTCCAAGTCTACATCTTAAACTGTAATTTGTTTTGTCTTTTTTCTTTACACACATCTGGTCGAGAGAGAGAGGGGGAGGCATGGCTGGTACATGCATTGCACGTCACACTCTACGAATTGAACGCCCTTGTTATATTCAAAATGCGAAAAGGGGAATGGGAAAGCGCAAAGGATATTATACCACTCGTTGTCATTTCTTTTTTTACTATTTCGTCTCAATCTTTGTACTAGCTAATTGTAGTTTATTATCACATGAAGAAAGCAGAAAGAAATCAATGAATCAAATCACCACAACATACAATTCCCTTTCTTTCGTTTGCGTCACGATCTCGTATTTTGCAATTTTGTCTCTAGTAATCCAAGACATGAAGTCAAGTTTACCTTTTTTGGATGAGGCCACCATCTTTTTCGGCCCCCAAAAAACCCCGTGCCACCAGATCGCATGCGCGCGTGGTATAAATTAATCTTACCCACACACACCTATTTTCACATACCCCTGCCCCCTTACCCGCCCTTGATGCCTAGTAGGATTTTCCTTGCTTGGCCTGACCCGCCCATCACATTCGCATTCGCGCAGCCTTGCTTGCTGACCTTGCATTCCCATTCCACACATTCTAGATCGTTATTCGCGCTCTCGATCAGATTAGGGGCGGTGATGTGCCTGATTGTGCAATAGCGACTAAACCTTTTCTTGCACACATCATGTGGGTATTGGTGTTGCCAGGTGCAGGTGTTCGCAGGCAGCCAACCCTACTACCTGCTCACGCCACTAGTCTATCCTTTCCCGGTCTTACACACACCCTAACTTTTCAGGTAAGAGAGGCATCTTTCCGGAACCCCGGGATGAGACATCGTACGTCATATTATGGTTTTGCCGGTTACCCAAAACGCCATTTTTTTGCGCATTGTTGGCTTGTTTTGAGCGGGGAGGGCGTGAGGCTGGCATGCAGACAGAGGGTGAGTCAGATAAGGCGATGATACTAGAGACTATTACTGTTGGACTAAAGGGGGAAATGGGAGGGGCTAGGCTGAAGGATGGATCATGTGATGGCGCGTTAGCGTGTTCAACGCGCTAATTCTCCCTCTTTTGTCCTTCCTTGTTTTCTATTGGGTTTTTTTGTTTGGTTTGGTTAGAGTGGAGCGATTGGCGGCTTCTTGCGGACTGTTGCTGCCTTGTATCCCGTGTGTGAGTGTGTGATTTTTTTTGTGGCGCATGTTTTGGGACACATGGCGGACGAATGGAGGAATGGAATCGGGCGGAACGCGTAGGTGGTTAGTGGCTGTGTAGCGGGTTTTTGGGTAAGTATTCCGTCGGGTGAGGGTCGGAATTAGGCATCAACTTTTTTTTCTTGATTTTGAATTGAATTGAACGAACGAAAGCATGTGGTGCAATGGTGTGGATGGATGTAGTGTTGCGGAGTGGAGTACACGGTGATATCTCGCCGATGTGTGGCGGTGGCTGTGTGATCTCGGACATTCGGGTTCCTGATAGAGTCCGAAACAACTGGCAGTGACACCACTGACGTATGGGAAAATGTTGCGAGATCTTGTAGTAGTGTACTGTGGATAAATCATATAAATGTCGCTCATCTACCCTAGACTCCAACATGGCTCTCTTTCTCAAGCTGTCCATACGTTTAAGCCTGCTTTCGTATCTTGAACTGAAGAGAGCCTCGCGAACAAGATTCTTAACATGTTGGCATGTATCAAACAAATGACAGTGTGTTTTCTAACGGCCAATTAAGTTTTATCTGTCGTGTAGAGGAAGCGTCTTAAAATGAGGGTGAAGTGTAGCTGTGTAAAGCTGCAACAGCTTGACTCCTGTCACGCCTAACTGATTCAACCCTAATGCTGACCCTACCCACTCGCCGGCTTATTCAATCCCAACTACAATAATATTTTGGAGTCCCCTTAAGAACCTGGGTCTTTCCATTCCTGTAAAGTATGTCCGAAAGAGATATTGTAGTTAGATGAATGAAAGTCCTACTTTCTACAAGTGCCGACATTGATAAAAGTAAGGTTCGGATTAAGATAAATCCGGCAGGGGCTGTTGAGACTTTGAATAGAGGGATACATATGCACTTAGCTACATATATGGCTGTATTTAAACCTGACCGATAGGCTTTTGGGGTGTTCCGACAGCTTAGCCTAAGTGTCGTGACAATACTATAACGGATTGAACGCACTTTAGTAGTTTGCTCAGCGAAACCTTAATATAGCTTAATGTATCTGCTATTAAACTGTCTATTCTCCAATGAATACAATTATTCATAGATCTAGTCACTTTCTGCCAACAGCACATCTACGAAAAGAAAAACCTAGATGGTTGCTTTCGGTGTTCAGCAAATGCGATTTGGCGATTTCGAACCCTCATAGCTACCCAAATACCATAACTTGTTTTGACATTGCCAGCGCATTCTCGGCTTCTTTGAAGTTGCGATGCTCGGCTGAGAGGCTGCACGAGCATCAAGTTAAAGAAGCAATACGCGCGTAGTAGTCTTTTACTTTCGAGATGGTAAAATCGTATGAGGAAAGTTTCCTGGAGAATTCAGTAAAACCAGTTGCCTAATCCAGAAACAGAAATTGTCTTCGAGTAAAACGCACGTACATGATCAACAACCCGGTCAAGTCCGCGAATGGAAAGTGGTGCATGGCTGACTAAATACCACGCCTTACGCTTTTCTTATTCCCTTGAACCGGGAGTTGCATCCATCGCCGCTAGCCGATGGTGCCGCTCCGATCCGTCAGCCGTCAATCCTTGCAGCGGGGGCTTTGTATCCAATGAGAGTTGCTGTGTACGATCAATGTAAATCTATAGTGGAGATCTCCTGCAAGCCATCATTGCTTTGCTAGAGCTTTACCACGACCTAAAATGCAGTTTTGAGATAATAGCGTTTGAATCTTGTAGATCATGGAATCATGTCCCTGCCTCACCGCCAGTGTATAAAAGGCCAAGATCCGACCGTGTGCCCCATTGACTTATTACAGCTTCTCTTGCATTGTGTTGTAGCACAATTGAAACCGCAATGCGACATTTCATAACGATCTCCTGTCTCTGGACTGCTTTTGCCACAGCTGACTCTGATGGCAATACTTTGCTTCAACAATTCTATGCCCCAGGCCGTCTTCTTGGCAATTCATTTGGCAACTCTGGTGTAAATGCGACATTTGACTACGTCGTTGTTGGGGCTGGTCTTGCTGGCGCTCTGACGGCATCGAGACTTGCAGAGGCATTGCCGCATAAGACGGTCGCAGTGCTAGAAGCGGGCTCTTTCTACGAGATTTCAAATGGCAATTATAGTCAAATGTGGGTAGAAATTAAAATATGTGTATCAATACTTACGATTTGATTGTTGCTAGACCATACTATTCCACAATGTATGTTGGGCCAAGCGTAGACGATTACCAGCCATTAATAGATTGGGGCTACTTCACGGAACCCATCCCAGGTGCCAATGGACGACGGTATTTTTATGCACAGGGCAAAACTCTTGGTGTGAGTTCAGCCAATTCAAACTAACATCGGTGGGCTGTGATTAAACATTATTGTAGGGAAGTTCAGCACGCAACCAACAAATTTACCACAGGTGCGACCATGTTTCTCTTGCGTATTACTACAAATCACTGACTCCCACCTCCAGAGCAACCAAAGGCTGGTATGCAGCAATGGCCAATATAACTGGAGATCTAGCCTACCTCTGGGATAACATGTTCCCTTTCATGAAGAAGAGCTTCTCATTTACGCCACCAGATACCAGATACCGTGCCGAAAATGCTACTGTAAACTTCACTCTGTCCAGCTTCGATAATCCCGGAGGACCAGTACATCTAAGCTATCCAAAATACGCTCAACCTATATCCTCATTTGGGCCTCAAGGTTACGCTGGAGCTGGGATTAAAGCAGCCAATGGTTTCTTAGACGGAAACTTACTGGGTTACGGATATTGGCCGTTCACGCTGCGCCCCGAAGACAGCACAAGAAGCAGTACGGAAAGTGCTTTTCTTTCTCGGACGGCTACCAGGACTTCATTGAAGATCTACCAATCGTGTATGGCGCGTAACCTTCTTTTTGATGAAAACAAACGCGCTTTCGGAGTCAATGTCACAGTCGCAGGAAGGAGGCCTTTTGTCCTTCATGCGCGCAAAGAAGTCATCGTATCTAGTGGCTTCGTCAACTCTCCGCATCTGCTCATGGTTTCTGGTATTGGACCGCGAGCAGCGCTCGAAAAATATAACATCCCCGTAATCTCTGATCTTCCAGGTGTGGGCCAGAATCTCCACGATACTCCTGCCCTCGGCGGTATCATCCACTCCTCAAACGTACCTGGTAGGAGCGCCTGGACGCGCAGTGCTGCGTCCTTCAACGACGCGGTAGAATCCTACCTCAAGAATGGATCTGGCCCTCTCAGCAGTCCAGCCAGTGACTTTGCCGCATGGGACAGATTCTCCGAAGAATATACGAGTAAAATGAGCCAGCCAACTCAAGACTACCTAAAACAACTACCTTCCGACTGGCCAAATGTAGAATACGTACTGCAAGCTTCCGAGCGCGTGCTTTCCACAACCCAAGCAGCCAGTAACACCGGTGTCATCGGTGCGATTCTCACTTCCGCTTCCAGTAGAGGAAACATTACGATTCAATCTTCCGACAACACCGTCGCACCAATCGTGTACATCGGATGGCTGGATTCAAAAGAAGACCAGGAAATGGCCGTTGCGGCGTATCGACGCGCACGTACAATCGCATCCAGAATCTCCGCATTTGGCACGGAAATTGCGCCAGGAGCGAATATCACGACCGATGCTCAAATCCTTGATTACATTCGCACAAAGGGCATGGGCGCAATCCATCACGGAGCGGCAACATGCGCAATGGGTCGCAATGTTTCCGATGGAGCTGTAGTAGACTCGAAAGCCAGGGTGTTTGGAGTCAAGGGATTGAGGGTTATAGATGCCAGCTCTTTGCCATTTGGAGCGCCGGGGCATACACAGGGTGTTACGTATGCGCACGCGGAGAAGTTGGCGCAGGATGTTATTGATGCTGCTATTGAGGAGTAAAGGAGAACGCAAGATGTCGTATGTAGACAGCCTTTTGTTTGTCTCTTTCGTTGATGCCATCTGATATACACGTTAAACACCCGATAATCTTACCATCCTTCTCAATGCAGCCGTTTGAAAGCGAGAACCATTTCTCGTACTCCCAGATAAGTATGGCCTACTTCGTTTATATAGTAACTGATGTGCTATTCAAATAGTTATGGTATTGCAACTGTAACGCTTGAATTTGCTTTACCTTGATGAGGGAACAATCGGTATTGGTTTCAACGCTGTTTTTTTTTTTGAAATAGACAAGAGAGCAAACTAGTGTGCTTGAAGAGATTAGGTAGAACAAAACGAATTCAAAAGGGGCATCTGATAAAACACGATAATATGCAAGTAGATAACATCTGATATTTGAATTTGTAACTATTTACAGTGGTATTAACAATGATCATTGCTG